CTTCTCAATAACACACTACATGTACTTCTACTTCAAAGGATCAATTCAGTTAAAATATTAAGAGAGAAACACATATAAAAGAGGCCTTTTTAATCAAGTAAATGCAATCTTTAACTTTTTAATACCAGTAGAGTCTACAATAAAACAGTGTTTCTCACTTAAAATGCATAACTAATGGACTTTGAGCCAAAGTCGCGACAACACAACGTGTGGTCTCGACAGTCTGAGACCACCGTTGACACTTTTGCCATTGGACGGTCCAGCAGGACCTAAACCGTCCCGGAGAGACAGTGATCAGGAAGACAAAGCCTTGCTGGTCTCAGGGACACTGCAAAGTCCCTGATTGACCCAAGGGAAGCGCTTCAAGCCGGCGACAAACAGGCAGCCCCCAGGCTGACGAAATCAGAGACGGCTCCGGAAGGAAGTGAAAGTGAGTCCATCGGGTGAGGTTTTTTTTTACTCTGAGAAAGATTGCCCAAAAAAACGCATAACTAGTTTTTTTTCTGGAACAAAACTAACCAAGTCCAATCTGTTTGGGAATCGGGAAAAGTTATAGTTCAATACAGCTGAAGGGATTCTATATTTTTTTCTACAACTCCTTTTTCCTGAACCTTTGCTGCTTTAGAAAACTCAAGATTTAAGGAATTTGTTGTGTTTAAAAACAATGCATCAGTTGTTTTACCAATACCAATGCAAATGGTACCAGTTTTAAATAATTTCTCTATTTAAGTTTGTAAGTACACAAAATGGTCATATAATACTTGGGTCTTTTATGCTGCTTTGTAATATATTACGTGCTTTTGCTTATAAATTAGTATATGTGACTTGCTTTTCATTATAAAAAATATTTGCAGAAATACAGTTTTACTTACTGTATTACGTGGCATGCTTACCGGAATTCCTAGAGCTTTTAGTATGTTCATTTTACACATAGGACAGGTACGATGATCTAGGAGCCAGGGATCTACACAAGATTTGTGAAAGAGATGCCTATGAAATGGAGGAAAATTATATTTAGTTCAATGGGGTTTTTTCCTACAGGTTGAAATTGTCAAACATTAAGTTGAAATAATTTGTTTGGCAATATAAAGAATCTTAACTAACAGTATATTTGTTTAGCAAACTTTTTAATCAATAGAGAAAGTTAAAAATGAAGTCAGAGTTGAAAAACAGAAGTATTTTGGAATTGATTATGTAGCAGTATTAGAATAAAAATAAACAAAAAAGTGGATAGATAACTTTTTATTATTATAAATATTATAAATAATTATTATAGAAACTTTAAAAAAATATATACGGACATCACTTTTGGATGTATGTGAAAAACTGCATAAATAAATGAACAAATCCACCATCCATAACAACAATTCCAAACTTAGATATAGATAATAAAACATTTGTCCCAGTATGATAAAGAAACAGTTCGTTGTAGTTTATTTGTGACACCAGTGGTAAATTTGTCATAAAAATTAACAAATATTAATATTAATTTATGCTCATCTCAAATGTTATGACATTACAGAACAATAAATATACAAACCTTTATATCAGGCAATCTAATGAAACTTGGAAAAAGTTTTGATTATTTCTTAAAATCAATTACTTTATTAAAATAAATTTGTTGGGATAATGATAATAACTTACCGGCAAGGCAAGATCCTGACAACATCATTTGGTTTGTAACCCTCAATACACACTGCACAGTTGTCAAAATCAGACTCAGTTTCCTAAAATAACCCAATAATAATAATACTCATTAATATCTTTAAATAACAAAAATGCAAATTGACTGAAACTCAGAGAGATGCATCCTTGTTGATGTGGCCAATATCGATGTGCAAATGAATGGTGGCATGAACCTTCTTTAGATTTATCCAATCTTCTGACCAATCTTTACCCACTCCATTTTGTACTTACAAGTAAAAAAAACTTCCAGTTTTATTTTTTAAATTATTATTTTGTCCTCATGCATTGTCTCTGAACAAAGTGGTCATTTTTAAAGAGAAAGCATTTTTTAAATTACCTTGTCTCCTTTCCTTATTGTTCTGACTTGGAGTTTGCCAATTGCTTTCTTTGCAGCATCTCCAAGACGACGCTGAAAAGAAAAAGAAAAAACACAACCATTTTATACTTATGGGATAAACCTTCATACAGATTACTCCTTGCATTAATAATAGTTGAAATAAGAGGTAAAAATAAGAACTTTTATAGGGAACAAATGCTGTACAACATGGCACAGATTAAAAATATTAAATTATGAACAGAAATTTTGATTATTGAAGCTTAGTAAGCATTCTTTCAAAGCATTCTTTTCATTTCTCCACTTGCTTTTTTTGCCATTTGTATGTAATTGATTTTCACACTCTATAGTGCACGGGTGTCAAACTCGCCACATAACGTTGCCATCACATGACTTTTGTGACATATTCCCCCTTCATGGAGCTGGGGTGGTGTGTGATGCATCTACCCTGCAGGCTGCCAGTTTGACAGCCCTGCTATAGTGCATCATACAAGCTTTCATTAGCAAAACATTTGGTTCCCAGCTCAAACATGCTGCTGCATGCACATTAAGGAGGGATAGCAATCATCAAGTAATCACAGTCCATTTCCAAAGCAGATCTGATATACATTAGCTATGCCTCCAGAACAGAGGCTATTAGCTAATCTTGAAGTAAGGCAGAACAGAAAGCTCAATTAGGCAAAAGTAAGGCAACATCTGCCTTTCTGAATACAAAAGATATCCAGACTTGGACAAAATTTTCTCTTTTATCCCAGATAAAATCTTGACTCATTACACCTGATTTGTGCCTCTCTGAGAAAATCCTTGACTGATCAATTTCCAGAAACCAACAACAAATAAGTGCAAATTGGTTTGATTCTGCCTATTTATAGACCGGAAAGTTGAGAGCAGAAATGCACCAGGTCCAGGGACACCCTAATGTAAAAAAAACATGCTAAATTGTTAAAATATGTTTTCATTACAAGAAAGTGACAGCCTCTCAAAAAGTTTCCTACACAACTAAAATATGGTCAGATCTGGAAGGGAGAAATTCAATTTTTTTTCTGGAATATTGTATCAAGTTTATTGAAGAAACGTAAATTCCAGTTCAATATTCTCATTCCAGCTTCAGTTTGGGAGGATTTATATGCAAAAGTACTTACTAATCTAACTAGCGCCCACAATTTAAGAAAATTATTGATACTCTAGCCTTTGAAAACCTTCTTCCCTGGCCTCCAGTGTCAGTGTCAGAAATCAAATTTATTGGCCATTCTCTAGATTCTTATAAGGCACCTAGATAAGATTATTTTTATCCCCAGAACTCTTCAAGAAACATATTGATTGGTGGGCTTCATTGTTAAGAGGGCTGTTATATTGTATAATTTTTTAAAAAATATTTATTTAGGAAATTTATATGGCTTCCTTCTTGCTCCCAGCTACTCTAGATAGTTTACAAACAATAAAAACAATATAGAAAACAAACAAACATAGCAACAACACACAGTCAAATGATTCATTTGATAGGCTCCATCTCTCTCTGGGTTCCCCAGGCTCACTGGCAAAATCAAGTCTTCATGGCCTTACAAAAGATTGTCAAAATGGGGACCAGTTAAATTTCTGCAGGCATGATATTTCAAAGGGAGAGTGCTACCATGGAGGTGGTTAATCTTCTGAGCCAGATGTACCTCCTTAGGGGTTGGGACCCACAACATTCCTTGCCTCCCCATTTTAGTGGGTCAGGTGGATATCACTGGCAAAAGATGGTCCCTCAAAAAATCTGGTCTCAAACCATGAAGGGCTTTAAAGGTGACAACCAGCACATTGAATTACACTCAGAAGCAAATTGGCATCCAATGCAGCTCCCGCACAAGAGGTGAATTGAATTTAAACCTTTATTGTCAGAGTACAACATGTGTACGATGAGATTGGATGAGTCTCCCTTTGTCCCCCAACCCAAGACAACTCACATAGGGGTGGGTTCCGGCAGGCACTACTGCCGGTTCACTCATGGGAGCGCTGCACATGCGCATGCTGGATGCACACTGCATGCACAGTCTAATTAAAACTGTTCCACTCATGCCCAGAACTGAAAACCAAGATGGCGGCGGTGTTGGCGGCGACCGGGGGAACTGATTTGTGGGTGTGGCAGGTCTGGGTTGCTGCCAGTTCGGGCAACCCAGGCCGGCATGCCAGTACCGGTTCGGCTGAACTGGTCAGAACCGGTAGAACCCACCACTGAACTCACAGTGAAAGACAGAAAATCTCTAAGCCAGTGAATCCTACTAACACACAATCCTACTGCACCATGTGAACCTATTTCACGTCACGCCAGCCCCGCAAGTCAATTGTACAATGTTGTTGTAAAGTTATTTTCCATTCAGAAGTCTGACAGCCAAGGATAAAAACTGTTCTTCAGCCTGTTTGTGCAGCTGCCTATGCTTCTCTATCTCCTTCCCAATGGCAGGAGAATAAAGAAGTGCTGACCAGGGTGTAAGTCGTCCATGAGTATTTTCTTCAGTCTTCTAAGGCAGCCAGTCCTAGTGATGTCATCTAGTGGTATCAGGGGACAGCCCATGATGTTTTGTGCTATGCTCACCACCCCCTGTTATATCTTTTTATCCGCGGCTGTCAAGCAGGCATACCACAGTGTAATGCAATGAGTGAGGATGCTTTCTATTGTGGACCGGTAAAAGGAGGTCATCAGTTGTTGTTCCACTTTGTTTTTTTGCAAGACCCTGAGGAAGTGGAGTCTCTGTTGGTCCTTTCTGGCCACCTGGGTTGTGTTGATTTTCCGGATGAGATCTTCTCTGAGATAGACTCCCAGGAATTTAAAGGAGGAAACTCTTTCCACATAGCTCCTCCTCAATGTAAAGTGGGGCAGGTTCCTCTCTCTTCTTCCAGAAGTCGAACACCATCTCCTTTGTAATAATACAAGTTGCATCCCAGTCGGATGAGAAATCATAATTATACTCCCATATATAAAAGGAAAGATAATGTGATCCAAAAAGTTATAGACCAGTGAGCCTTATTGGAATTGTGGCTAAAATCTATGCAAAACATCTTTTGAGCAAAATAGAAAACTGGGTAATAGAAATAAATTGCTTAGTGGAGGAACAAGCTGGACCAGAGTGCTCCACAGTAAACAATTTGTGTTATTGTACACCAGTCATCATTACGTGTATATTGAAATCTCCCACCTATCACAGCTTTTGGGTCAGGTGCAGGAAAAATTACATATAGAGATTGTTGGGAAGGGTGTCGCTAAATAAGGCAATTAGTAAACAAGACTTGTCTGTATTGCAAATGAGCTCATTTTAAAAGATAAAAGAGTATTATTTCAATCTATTTTTACATTGAGGATAGCAAAACTCATTTTATTACCTCCCTGTTCACTTGGGAAATTTATGCCACATTTCGTCATGTAAAACTGGAATTGGAATAATTGCTTACCCATCTGTTCCTAATTCTTTTGTCTCAAAGCAACATTTTAGGTTTCAATAAAGAGACAGCAATACACCAGATAATATTTCAAATAGTTCTTTCTTTCTTTCTTTCTCTCTCTCTCTCCCTCACTCCCTCCCTCTGTGTGTGTGTGTGTGTGTGTGTGTGTGTGTGCACGGGCGCCCATATCCATATATGTATATAAAGATTTTGATGTTATTCTTTCAAAAACCATGTAGTGGATGATTTTAAAAACCTATCATTTTTTTAAAAGGCAAAGGGACAACTACCTGTAGAAGCAGTTAACCTAGTAATATTTGGATATTTTGGAGGTACCTGTCTTAAAATATCCCATTCACTGTCCTGTTAGTTGTAGAATACAGGAGTGATAATTCTGAACTTCCAGACATTATCATTTTACCAACTCTTTAAAAACTTTTTTTTATTTTTTAATATAATAATTTCATCTTCAATTAAACAGTGTGTCGTCCAGGTACAAATAATAAATTTTTATAACAATATTCATTACATTAACATTAATTATATAATATTATAATGGTAGTATTAAACATAATAATAATATTTGCTTCTTTCTATTAACATCTTTTTTATTTCACTAATCTTTTTCTTTTCCAACTTCAATTTTTGTTATCTAACCATTGATAAAATAATTCCCACATCATTTAATAGCCAGTTTGTTTTTTCTCCTTAATTGCTAGCATTAGTCTATTCATTTCTGCACATTCTAATTTTTTTCTGATCCCATTCTCATGTATGGGGATCTCTTCACTTTTTTCAATTTTGTGCAAATACAATTCTAGCTGCAGTTAATATATGAATAATTAAATATGCAATCCCCTTACTATATTTTCACCATCCTGTTAGTTGTAGATTGTAGGATCAGTGGTGGGATTCAAATTTATTTACTATTGGTTCTATGAGCATGGCTAAGTGGGGCCCGGGCAAGTCCATCCGGCACAGCAGGCAATGGGATGGGTGTGCGCGGCCAGAGCGAAGAGCAGGGTGGTGATGGCAGTGGCTTTTTTGGCACATTCAAGACCTCCAGTAGTTTTTGGCATCCTCCAGCTAGCCGCCCCAGCTGGGAAGCAGCTGGCAAAGAGGCAGCAGCTGGGATGTTTCTCACAGTTGCACCGTAAGAGAGCTTGCCTTCCGGAGAGCAGACCAGCTGCTGTGGGAGGAAGGTAAGCCCAAAGAAAGAAACGGTCATGGGGGAGGAAATGGGGCTAGGGCTGGGGTCTCTGAAGGTGCAGAAATGGGACTGGCAAAGGGAGAGTGGGTGGCATGCAGGAGGAGGCCCTGAGAAGGCCACAGCTGGGGAATGGCGCATTCCCCAACCTGGCCAGGGCGAACGGCGAGCAGGCGATGGCTTCAGGGTCTCAGGGAATGATATGTTCTTGGGCCCCAGCCCCTGACTCAAGTCAAAGGGTGATCAGGCAGCATGCTTACCTTTGGTGAGCTGAGCAGAGCAGGAGAGGCACAGAGATGACTGGCAAGGCAATTAGCTGAGCTGTGTGGTGAAGGCAACATATATAGGGCTGAGACAAGCAGGGCAAGCATTGAGCGGGCAGGACAAGCGAGGGAGGGAGTGGTGAGTGGGGTGAGCAAGTGGTGAGCAGGCGTAGGGCCAGCCAGAGGTCACCACCTCTGTTCCAGACACCATCACTTTACCAAGTCTGGTATAAATCATTTGTGCTGATTGGTGAGTTGTAGTCCACGAACAGAAATATATTTCTGCACTTACAGAATAACCCAATCTTCCCATTTTCTCTTTTGTTGCTTAGATACGAAGCCACTGCTGTTCCAGACTGAGCAGTGGAAGAAAGGAATGCAAGAAACAGTAAGTCTAACCAAAGGTCAGAGAACATGTAAAACAGAGGAACAAGGCAAGTCAACATATGAGATTTCTTGCAACATATGAGTTACTGAATATAGATCGTAATTAATCAGGCACAAGATTAGTTGCTGCTATATATTATCAACTAAATGTTCAAAGACTTGTTGACTGGATTACATTGCTATATTTCTTTTCCATATATATTAAACGCTGACATGCTTTGCCTCAACAGTTTTACACATGAAACAAAAAATAAAATTACAAAAGTGTAATCCAAGAATACACAAGTGCCTTCCTGTTTCTGGAATCACTGCATACCAGTGAAATACTGCATATGCCTAGAAATGCACAATACAGGCATTTGATGTATCTGCTAGAGTGCAGTATATTGTAATGTAGAAATTTCAGATTTGTTCTTCAGCTGATGCAAGTATGCTACAATAGATATTAGAATAGATAACACCACATTATATAGGTTCTGTGTTAAATCTCCAACTTGAATGGAGGGAGATGTAAGAAGGGGGCTGAGCTTGGAGTCCTTGCACAGGTCTATGACAATGTGCTGCAGCCAACTTGCCACGGCCAACTTACTGTGGCCAACTCACTCTGGGACAACTTGCTACAGAAGAACTTGCTGCGGGACAAGAGTTACACTAATATCAAAGAAATTGTGAAATAGAAGAGAGTTGGCCACTGTGACTTGCCCATGCTGAGTTGGCTGTGGCGAGTTGGCTGTGGTGAGTTGGCCGCTGCAAGTTGGCTGCTGCAAGTTGTGATTTGACAGTGGCAAGTTGGTTGTGGTGAGTTGGCCGCTGCTAGTTGGGAAAAGGGCGGCCTACAAATGCTAATAAAATCTCAAAATCTCAAAATCTCACTGTGAGTTGACAGTTGTGAGTTGGCTGTGGCAAGTTGCCAGTTAGCCATGGTGAGTTGGCCACTGCGAGTTGGCTGTGGTGCGTTGGCTGTGGCAAGTTGACCGCAGCAAGTTGACTGTGGCAAGTTGTCCCATTCTGTCCTTTGCACAGCAGAAAGTCGTGTAGTTTCCCCCAGACTTCCTGAAGCTTTATTTCACTATTGCCAAGAGAATACAATCAGTCTTGTAAACTGCCAGTACAACACTGAAGAAGTCATTTGATTTACTGACTATGTGGGTCTGGTTCCTTGTGCCTGACAGTTTTGACCAATTTACTTAAAATACTTCCAAATCATAATTCCAACTAGCCAAGTAAAATATGTAAAAAGAACCCTAAATGGTCATCTAATCACCACTGGATTATTGAGTGAGGCACTATAGGAAGGAAGGTACTATATTCCATAGTGAGATAATTACCCAATTAGGCAATTAAAAACCTGCATCTAAATGTATAATGCATGAGTAATCTATGTGATATATTTTAACGTACATGTTTTCATTATGTGTTTTTTTCAAATCCAAATTGTAAACGTTATAATCTTACCTGGTTTCAGGAAAAAATGCCTTTTTACTCATGAGATATTAAATGTCTGTAATATACTATACTCATATGTTTTGTACTGCAATATAAATAAAAATATAAAGAAAACAATCAATTAATAGATTCTAATATAAGGAAAAATGATTGATTCAACTATTTACTGTACTAAGATTCCTTTGCATTTAATATCCATCTCCAATGGGAATACTTTTTAGCTTAAAATTTCTGATACATTTTGTGATACAATGTTTTTCTCTCCTGTTTCTCAAAGTTATCTTCCAAAAAACACTCATTCTCAGAGTCTATTTCTCTCAGAAGGACTCCTACATTCTTACACCCAGACACACAAACACACATTATTAAACCAGTAGCCTATCCAAAAAAGATTCTATTTTTCTTCCAGCCCCTCTGCTGACTTTTCCAGCCCATTTTCATTGGTCTTTCAACTCCAGGTTCTTTCTTCTCTTTGTTTTTTTTTTCCTTTGGCATTATCTAGGCTGAAGGAGAATTTTGATGATCCATATTAGTGGCACAATAACATCAAGCTGCAAATTCTTACACTCTGTTAAGGAATAGTGAAATATATTGTGGTTCTTATTAATTCAATGCATTGGCTGCATTATGGAATATGAATTTTATTAATCCCTTCACTGATGTTTTTCAAATTAAAAACTATATTAAACAACATAGTGCTAGCTTATGTGCCATAGGTAAGAGAAGGACATAGCAGCTGATCAACTTCTTGTTCTTTGTCCCTATATTTAACTGTACGAAATACATCTTTCTTTATTTCTTATGGAAATATAATGTAATATAAATAATGAATACTCTTAAGAAATATTCATCATGATGGCCACTAAAAAATTTAAATGTGACATAAACCCAGGGGTGAGCTGCTATGGGTTCGCTCAGGTTCAGGAGAATCCATAGCTAACGTTACAGCCGGTTCAGAGAACCTCCAAATCCTACCCCTGGCTCCACCCACCACTCCCCTCCCATGAGTCTCCACACAGCCCATTTCGGATGCAAAGTAAGTGCAAGGCCCCCATGGAGGCTCTGGGAGGGGGAAAAACAGTTTCTGGAACCCAGGGGAGGCCGTTTCTGCCCTCCCAGAGGCTCGAGGAAAGCCTCCAGAGCCTGGGGAAGGCAAAAACGCCCCCCCTCCGTGGTGCAGGAGGCCAACTAGGCCACGCCCCTCAATAACCAGGTAAAGAACCTATTGCTGAAATTTTTGAAGCCCCCCCCCCCTGCATTAATCAATTCAGTTCTGGCTCTGTTACATTTTAACAACAATACCTCAATCAGTATTTTTCAGATTTCTGGAATCTGAAGGTAAAAATATATACAGACCACTGCTTATGTTGATTTTTTTTAAAGAGGGGGAATGGATATCTATTTAAAAGTATCACTCACCTGATTCCTGTCTCTGGCATTCGCATATCTGAATCTCTGAATGTAGTAGAAGACCAGCCATGCTAAGGAGATGATCATCAGCACAATGAAGGAGATGGATACAAACACCACAGAAGTACGACTAACATACTTCTGCAGGTTACGGGTTCCCACCGTTATGTGCATCATTACAGTAATATTCCGCTCCAGTAGGCTTACTATTTCTTTTCCCTTCGGCTCAGGGATCATTATTGCCACAACATCGTCAATACCTATCAGAAAAGAAATAACTATTAACAGAAAAATACTCCAAGTGAGCTCCAAAACAGTTTTATTTTCTTCACGAGGGATATTATCAGTGGAAAAGAAAATACAAAAACAATACTGTCCAAAAGTCACCAGCTGCTTACCAGCTTTCCTTTTTTATTCTCCAGAGGGGTGAGATCAAAATATAAGACTGTTTATTATAATTGTGTGATTTTCTATGAGTTTTAAGTGGGAAAATTGATTTCTTAAGCCTCACTGAAAATATTTTCAGAGTTGGATTCTTTGGGAATATGGCTCTCAGCTTGCCATATAAAACCTTATAATGTCTTCAAGACAACAGACATTGTTCAGTTTCTACAAAGATAAAGGTGAAAAAATGAATGGCTATATTCTGAGATCAGCAATAAGCATAGTTCATAGATGTGGGATCTATCTTAAGAGTTACATCTTGTTCCCAAAAATCAGTTTGTGAATAGAATTTATCTTTGCTGATATATCTGTGTAGAAGTACAAAAATGTCTGCTTCAGTTTTTTTCCCTGCTGTGATGTTTCTAGCATAATTTTTAGCAAAATTTTAAAATAAGAAGATAAAAGCTAAGACAAACTAATAGTAAGAAAAAAACAGAAATAAAAAACAAAAAGTGCAAAAATATAAAGAAGTGGCTTCTGATATTATTCGCAGTAGTTATAAGTATTAATATATTTCCAACTCTCTGTCTAAAGCAGTGGTTCCCAACGTGTGGCCCATGCTCCACAGGGGGGCAATTTGATTTTTAATGAGGGCAATTTGAACCAAGTTAATGGCCTTTTAGGCTTCCTCCACATGAGTAGAGTTCACTTTTTGAGTAAACCAAGAATTATATGTCACAGGGGTGGGGGGCATCAGGATTTTAGAGATGCTTAGGTGGGGCATGGCCAAAAAAAGGGTGGGAACCACTGCTCTAAAGTTACATCTATAAACTATCCTGTCTATTTATCAAAACCATGTCCCAAATTAATTATTTTTATTTTTACACTAAAAGTTGTTAGGCTTCTAGTCAGCAGTAAACAAAGATAATTTTTTTTCTATAATTAAATTTTCTCATCTCAGAAAATCTAATTTTATACATTTAAGCAATTACTTGCTCATCAGTACACAACTGTCAAATTTTGACTTACTTTGCTCTGTACCCTAAATCAGAATTTCCCCAACCTTTTCAGACCAGCAGGGAGATGGGGGGAGAGGAAAAGACTCAAGGCCCGATAGTGGGCCGCTGCCCAGGGATTAAGGATCCCTGCCCTAAGTCTTTATATTCATTTTAAACCTTTCAGATTCAGATGTAAATAGGAGAATGATTACAACTATATCCTTCTACTATTAATTAATCTCTTGATTTTATTTTAAATTCCCCTTCATATTTTTTCAGCATCTTGGTATGTCAATCATTTATCTTTATCTGTTATTTCTGCACACTATGCTTATATCCATAAAGGTGTTTTTGAGCATAACTTGGGGTTATATCTATTCCATATTCTCAAAGTGGCACATCTAAAAAATTATTTTTTCAAGACCCTATTAACTTTAACATACCATAAATATCCATGCCATCCAACATCAGGTAGTGACCATCTACTTGTAGACATCTCATGTTTTTCAGCAATGTCTGTTCTTTTCATCCAGACCATACAATAAGCAGTAAAATACAATTTTAAATTAAGCAAACCCAATCCTTCCATTTCCTTTGCATTAACTCTTTCAAATTTGCATCGACCCTTTCAAATAAATTTCTGTAAAAGTATCATGAACCTTTCAGCCAAAATCATAGTAAATCATTGTCCAAAAGCCCTGCTGCTATGCCCGATATAAAAAAATGCCAACCCGCACGCCAGCAGAGGCAGGTAAAACACACACACACACACAAATTACTTACAATAATACAATTACTTACAAATTACATTAATTTTGAATTCCTTCCCCTACCTCCGACCTACATACCTTTTCCAGCTGTTTCACAGAGGATTCAATTCTGCTCTTGTCTGCCATGATGAAAATGTAAAAATGTAAAAGGAAAAAGGCAAGAGCTGCTGAGGTCAGTCTGGGTTAGCTGCTGCCACAGTCTCCAATGGATGACTCTGCTTAACTGTTTAAAAAAGCCTCTAAAAAAGTGTCCTCTACAGGAGGAGGCGAGAGAACCAAGTGCCTCATCTACATAAGGAATTTTTCGGCTTTTAATCCTTGCTTAACTGCTCGAGTGATCATAAAGATAGATTAAATGAGGCATGTGGTTCTCCCGCCTCCTCCTGTAAAGGGCACTTTTTTAGACAGTTAACTGTTTTTTAAACAGTTAAGCACTAAGCAGAGTCATCCACTGTGACTTTGGCAGCAACTACCTCAGCCTTTTTCCTTTTTATTTTTATTTTTCTTTTCATAATGACAGTGGTGAGGCCCTGCCTCCCCGTCACTGGTTTGGATATAGTTGAAGGTCTGTATCATTGTATATAAAACAACTCCATTTTTTCTTTAAATCTGCTTAAATTAAAATTCATTTCCCAAATATTTGTAAATTAAATGTTTTATATCTTTTTTCCCTAAAATATATTCCTTGTATACAAATTACACCTTGTTTTAACTTATTTAAATTGTGAAATATTTTTTACTGTTGTTCTATTTATATTCCATGTTAAACATTTATAATCGATACACTTTCCCAATATTTTTAGAAAGGTCAATACCTCTACCAATGTAGAGTCTTTTTAAATGTCTTTTTAATGTTGTAGCATTTGTTCAGTCTCATCTGTCATTGTCACTTCCCTTTGTACTTCCTCTAAGTCTTCTTTAAACTTAAAAAAAACACCTTGCTTTTTGCACATAATTCAACCTAAATGCCTGATGTTTGAAAGGAAAAAATTCTTCCAGCTTATCCCATCTAAATGGATTTTTTTCCTGTTTAAGATTGTCTATCAAAAAAAGTACTTTTATCTTTTATGTAATATTCTAATTGGGATTTCTTAAGGACAATTACATCTATATTATCACTCCTCTTATCTGGTATTAAAATGCTGCTGTAGAACTTCATGTTTTGTCTTCTTCCTGACAAATTATACAAGGACATCCTTTGGAACATTTCTTAATTTTGCAAAATGCATAATGATCCTATAACACTTACCAATCTTTGTATCAATATTATCTTCCTCCCAGTGCAGAAATTCAAAGAAGTTAACAATCTTTTCTTCAATATCCCTTTCATGTTCTTCTGAAATTGCTCTAAATCTTAAACAAAATTCTTTCCCCCTAAATTCCAAAAATCCCAAATTGCCCAAATCCTCGCCATCTCTCTGTTTATAAATTCTGTTTTGCTTTTCAAGTCCTCCACTTTTTCAGTAGTTTGCTTTAATGTGCAGTAAGTTGCTGAACAGAACTTTCATTTTTGTTAACTTCTTCTTTCAGATCTTTTTATATAATTGCAAAACATTCTTCCATTTCCTTTTTAACTGTTATTGTTTTATCAAATTGTTCAAATAATTTCTGCAGTAAATCTGATGATATGCCCTTATTGGTAAGTTGTTCTAATGAACCCTGCATCCTTCTCCCAGTTTGGTATGTGTGTGTGTGTATGTATATATATTGGGTCACACCCCTGGTATGCCCAAATATGTTGTTCTAATGAACCCTACATCCTTCCCCCAGTTTGGTTTGTGTGTGTGTGTTTGTGTGTGTGTGTGTGTGTGTGTGTGTGTGTGGATTTGAGAAGCCAGACCGCAACTGCATCATTAGCCACTTCAAACCCCTCCAATCCATACATGAAGCAGGCTGACACCCATCATGAAGAGCTGGCACAGCCACAAACACGAAGCCAAACAACAGCAACACAGCTCAACAGCTCAAATCCCCCAGCAACTCAGACTAAGCCGAGCATAAAACCCCCAACCAATCAGAACACACCTCCACCCTATCAGAACACACTCAAGCTCACACCCAATCAGCTCACACCCCCACTGGCAGTTAAAAGGAAGAAATAACTGCGATCTCACATTGCTCCTAGAAGCATGAAGCCGAGCAAACTGGCCTGAAGATGATGAATGAGACTTCGTCGAAACGTCACCAAGACACTTCCAATTTTACGCGGGAGAAAACCCAAATAATCAAAGACCTACATACACCCCCCCGCGAAAACCTCAGAAAACACACACACACACACACACACACACACACACACACACACACAAACATCAAAATGGAAATTTTGAAACTAACGCCATAGATAAATCTGAACACAAACCCAAACTCTGGCTTAGATATG